TAAAATCACACAACTTTACTCAATTCAACTTTTTACAGGTATACAACTTACTGACAGCAGTTACCATAATCAGTTGTGTAACCCTACCCTTAATGTGATTTTGCCTTCACCATTAAACCCTCTCTTCCTTCTCCCTCCTGCCTGTGCTAACCTCTAACAAACTTTGGTCTCTATATACATTTCCCTTTTCTTTTTACATAAGTAAGGTCACAGATGATTAGTCCTTTTGTGATTGGTTTATTTTGCTGAGTATAATGGCTTCAAGCTCCATCCACATTGTAGTATGTTACAAGACTTGATTTCTCCTACTGGCTGAGTAGTATTCCATTGTATGTATGCACTGCATTTTGTTTATCCAATCATTTGTGTTGATAGGCATTTAGGTTGTTTCCATCTTTTGACTATGGTGGCTAGTACTGCACTGAGCATTGGTGTACACATCTCTTTGAGTCTCTGCTTTCAAGTCTTTGGGTATATGAGTGGAATTTCTGGATCATATGATAGTTCTATTTTTAGTTTTTTGAGAAACTGCCACTCTGTTTTTCACAATGACTGTATCATTTTACATTCCCATCAGCAATGGATGATTAAGGGTTCCAGTTTCCCCACATGTTCCACAACATTTATTTATCTATAAAATTTTATCATAGCTATCCTACCCTACTACCACTGCCATCAGGATGATTCCGACTTATAGCAACCCTGTAGGACAGATCAGTCCCTGGAGAAGGACATCATGCTTGGTAAAGTGGATGATCAGTGAAAAAAGAGGAATCCGCCCCTCCCCCCAAAAAAGAGCTGGATTGGCACAATGGCAGCAGCAATGAGGTCAAACCTAGTAACAATTGTGAGCATAATGCAAGATCAGGCACTGTTTCATCCTGTTGTGCATAGGATCGCTATGAGTCAGAACCGATTTGATGACACCTAACAATAACAACAACAAATCTTTATGATTGTCCTTTTTTTGTTGTTGTTTTAATGAGAAAATTTATTGGTTTTCTTTGAGGTTACCCTATAATTTATTAATGTCTTCCTAAGGTTACAGCAGTTTGCTTTATGTTGACATCTACTTGACTTCCTTCCATTTAAAAGTTCTATAACTTTGTAGTTGTCTTCTTTATCAATCAATATCTTGCCTTATTTTTTTAGTCTTCCAGGTTTATTTGAAGGAGCTCTGGTAGTGTAGTGGTTACGAATCGGGCTGCGAACCGCAAGGTCAGCAGTTCGAAACTACCAGCTGCTCCGCGGGAGAAAGATGAGACTTTCTGCTCCCATAAAGATTTACAGCCTCGGAAACCCTGTTCAGGGTCGCTATGGGTCGGAACCGACTCGATGGCACTTAACAGCAACAACAACAACAACAACAACAGGTTTATTTAGCGTAGTGGTTACGAATTGGGCTACGAACCGCAAGGTCAGCAGTTCGAAATTACCTGCTGCTTCACGAGAGGAAGATGAAGCTTCCTGCTCCCGTAAAGATTTACAGCCTTGGAAACCCTGTTCAGGGTCGCTATGGGTCGGAACCGACTCGACGGCACTTAAGAACAACAGGTTTATTTAACTTTGTTGTTGTTGTTAAGTGCTGTCGAATTGGTTCCAACTTATAGCAACCGTGTCTAGGGTTTCCAAGGAGTGGATGGTGAATTTGAACAGTCGACCTTGCAGTTCAAACCGACCTTGAAGTAGAGTGCTTATCCAACGGTGTCGCACCAGGACTTTCTACTACTATGTCTGGATTGACATATGGGTTGTTTTTGTTGCTAAGTGCCGTCAAGGCTGTTCCAACTCATAATGATTCTGTATTGGGTTTCTGAGGATCTTGTGACCTTATGGTTCACAGTCAAGTGTTGCTTCTACAGCTCCTGCCACACCAGGGGTCTATGGGTGGGAGTATCATATATATTAATCTCAGGGTGTTGTCTGCTGTTATTGGTTCTCTGTCCAAAGAACTCTCTTTAGTTTAGTTTTTTTTTTTCTTTCTTTCTTTTTGCTGGGTATGTGACTCTTGGTTGGTAATTTTTTTCTTTCAGAGTTTTACGTGTTATCCCATTGCTTTCTCGTAAGGAGCCCTGATGGCGTAGTGGGTTATGCATTGGGCTGATCACTGAAAGATCAGCAGTTTGAATCCATCAGCTGTTCCTCAGAAGAAAGATGAGGCTTTCTGCTCTCTTGGAAGCCCTACACAGAGTCGCTATGAGTCTGAACTGACTTGATGGCACATGGTAGCAGCAGCATGGTTTTTTGCCTGCATGGTTTCTGCTGAGTTTATTCTCCTTTGTAGGTAATTTTCCTTTTTCCTGAGATGTTCTAAGGGTTCTTTCCTGGTTTTGGAAAGTTTGATTATGATATAGCTAGGTGATTTTCTTTTGGGGTACATCCTGTTTTGGGTTTGTTCAGCATCTTGAATGCCTATCTTCTCATCTTCCAGAAACTCTTTGACAACTTTCTCTGTGCTTTTTATGGTCTCTTTCTATTCTGGAATTCTGATCACATGTAAGTTATTCCTCTTGATGGTGTTCCACTTAATTCTTAGGCTTTCCCCCTTATTATTATCATTTTCCTGATTGTTCTTCTAGCATGCTAATTATGAGAGCTTTTTCTTCAAGTTCATTAATTCAACTTCTCATTGATTAAAATCTACTTTGTGCTTCTGAAATCTTAGTATTAATCTTCTGGATGTCTATTTGCAGTTTTTGTGTTGTTTCTAAACTTTCATCTATTTTGTCCATTTGTTTTCAATTTGTTTCCTTGAATTT